CACACACACACACACACACACACACACACACACACACACACACACACACACACACACTACATAGCAAGAACCTGAGTACTAGTGAAAGCCTGTAATCTCAGCTCTTGAAAAGCAGAGGCATTAGGATCAGGAGTTCAGGCCTGTATAGGTTACATGAGATCTTGGAGTTTTGTTCTTTAGGTAGGGGGCATTGGGATGGGAGGCTGGGAAGGAACAGTTACTTGCTGAAACAGAGCAGGTCTGAAGACTCTTTAAAAAGACAATCCTGAGCTCTTTACCTTACCACAATGGGAAAATCAGTAATAACAGCTCAACAACCACAAAACCTACAATAACCTCTTATTTTAAGCTCTAGCTCAATTTCACTCCCCTACATCATGACTGGGACAAAGAGGAGCTAGGTGACTCTAGTAAGTATGACAGTGTGTTTCAGTCTTACAGTGAGCCTAAAGCTACTCCAAAAACCTGGAGGAGACCAGTGGAGAACCTCAGAGAACACACTACGAGAGCTTTTAGACGGTTGCCTTCCAGATAAACTTACCTTTCTCTTGAAGCTGAACCAGAAACAACTTCTTGTGTTCCTTGGGCTTTGTTATATGTGCAGGAATATACGGATACTAAAACAGAAAATGAGAGTGACTTGTAGGTTTCAAGCATCGCTCTTCCTAACACCTCATGTGTTAACTATCAGGTTCTTCCAATTACAGACACAAAGCTCAACCACCCTCATATGCTAACTCAGTCTTACTGTACCGATTACCCGCTGGCCTCATTTAGTTCTCTACATGTGTATTTCCCAGTACACTGCTGGTGGTATGCTTCTGTCTCGTTACCTTTAAGGGACCTAACCAACAGATACAGAAAGTGCCTTCACACACATGTAATAAACAGTAACCTCATCAGCTGTTTAAGTACAACAGTCAAAGAATGTATGGCTAGGGACATTTACAACACAATGAAGTTCTGGTTTTAAGGTAAGTTGCTGTTTCTACATATTGTTACTAAAACACTCTAGACTCCTGCTGTGATCATGTTTACTTCATGAAAACTTTAAAGCCTCTGAGGTATTTGACAGGATGCTCTTTGCCCCTTCTCCCTACCTCCCATACACATAGCACATGCTTTAGAACAAAAATGAGCTAGGTGGAGTTCTGCCAGCTGGGCAGTCTAACTGGTGTGTAAAATGGAAAAAATATTTAGAAAAATTAAAAGGACAAAAAGATCTAGAGAAACTACTGCTTGAGAGCAATTTGATACACTAGGTGGGGTATAATTATCACATTCACTTTACTCAGAAACTTTTGAAGCCAGTACCTGGGGCTGGAGAGATGCTCAGTAGTTAAGAGCATTGATTACTCTTTCCAGACGACCTGGGTTCAGTTCCCAGCATCCACATGGCAGCTCACAACTGTCTGTAACTTCAGGATCCAACACCCTCACACAGACATATTTGTAGGCAAAACACCAATGCACATAAAATGAAAATAATTATTAAAAGAAAGAAGCTATTACCTTCTCAAGACTGCGCAGTTTAGTGAAGCCATACTGCAACTGATCTATCCAGTCTTTACTCAGTACAAGGCCTACTATTTACTCCCTGTTACCTCTTCCTCGATGGCACCCAACCAGCACACAAGTGAGGACAATTACACACTATAAAGTACAAATGAGCTCAAGTAACACTCCCAGGTTTTGGAGGTCTACCTGAAAACCAGATTAACAGTGAAGGGACAAAGAATCGAGAACTAGTTCAAACCACACACTTGAAAAACACCTGGGGTTCACATTCAACAAATCATGGCCACACAAAATAATTTCCTTCTATTTGCTGCTTCCTCTTTCTAAAAGGCTACTCCCCAGTTCTGCTCTTACTAGCTAAGCTGGTGAGGTTCATATGAAAAGACAGAGACAAGGAAGTAATGAAACACTTTTCGTCAGCGACACCCAATGAAAACAGGCAAGTTGGCTAAAGCCAAACAAACACACAGCACTTCACTGACATCCATACTTCCAGGGCCAATCTTACACTTCAGTGAAGTCAAGGAATACCACAGAGCCACAGAGTAAAGGAGATAAGGAGGGTATTCAGCCAACAGCCTGGAAGACTTCTGAGTTAGCACTGAGCACTTTCCTTCCAATTAGGTCAAGGAATGTCCAAGAAACCAAAGCCTGTTTAGAATAAGTGTTTTACATATCTTTCAAATAGCAGCTTCACCATTTGTGTATGGTGAAACTTTGCTTCGTAAGGCCAGGTCACAGATGTGTTGTGGCGATTTTCAGGAGTACCAGTGTCCACAGAGCCCTGTGTACTTGTCCTCAACTACACAAGGCAGTCAGGAGAGAACAGAACATCTTTTGCCTGGCCAATATTGTGTAACACTTGACCTGGAACATACTGTTATGGAAAGAAGCTCTCCAATAATGGGGCTTTTGATCTGTCCAAAGAATTTAAGACCCAACTTTAAGACACTAGCCAAAATATGAAAATCTGAGCATCAATAACATTATTGGTCATTATAGTGGACTAAATACATTAAATATCCTTAAGTCCACACAGTCATACTAACATTCTAATGAGGTGTTCATACCCCATCTGAAATCACTCTCCCTCAGATGTTAGGGCAGGTCACACCTTTCTGGAGTCTGCAAAGTTTCTCAATCATGAGATTGTAGAGAAATTCATTCAAGTCTTGCCAAAGGGGGGACAGGAGTCCCTGGGTTTCCATCTTCAAACAATTCAGAAGGACATTTGATATGGTTTCTTGATAGCTCTTAGCAATATTAATCTAGCTGTTCATAGTTATAGTAAGCTCAATACTATTATGTGGGGGGTTTGTTTGGTTTTGCTCTGATGTTTTGTTTTTTTTTTTTTTTTTCTCGAGACAGGGTTTCTCTGCATAGTACTGGCTGTCCTGGAACTCACTCTGTAGACCAGGCTGGCCTCAAACTCAGAAATCCGCCTCCTCTGCCTCCCAAGTGCTGGGATTAAAGGCGTGCACCACCACCGCCTGGCTACTCTGATGTTTTTTGAGACAGGGCTCAGTATGTAGCTAAGATTGGGCATGAACGCCTTTCTACCTCTACCTCCAGAATACTGGGGTTAAAGTATTTTTTTAATGACTGCTGCTTCTGGTCCCCTTCTCCCTATGCTTTGCTACTTCCTGTCTTACACCTCAATCTGTTTCCACATCTGCCCTTTTCACTCCTATTGTATCTTTGACGGATGAATGCATTCTTCTGAAAACTTAAGGAAAGGAAAAGAAGCATCTACTATTTCCTATAGAACTGTATACTCCAGAGTAACCAAGTAGTTGATGAGGTTAAGGTTCCCTGTGTATTTAATAATAATAATAATAATAATAATCACATCTCCAGAGACTTCATGACTGTAGGAAATCATCAACAATGACCTGTTAACATTAACATTATGAAAACCAACTGTCCTAGTCAGGGTTTCTATTGCTCCAACGAAACATCATGACCAAAAAGCAAGTTGGGGAGGAAAGGGTTTGTTCAGCTTACACTTCCACATTGCTGTTCATCACCAAAGAAACTTAGGACAGGAACTCACATAGGGCAGGAACCTGGAGGCAGAAGCTGACACAGAGCCCATGGAAGGGTGTTCTTCTTATAAAACCTAGGACTACCAGCCCTTGGATGGCACCACTCACAATGGGCTGGGCCCTCCCCACTTGATCACTAATTGAGAAAATGCCTTATAGCTGGATCTCATGGAGGCATTTCCTCAACTAAAGCTCCTTTCTCTGTAATAACTCCAGCTTGTGTCAAGTTGACGTATGAAACAAGCCAGTACACCAACCAAATAGTATAAATTCTTTTTTATCTCCTTTGAGACATAGTTTCATTGTGTAAGCACTTGCTGACCTGGCAATCTTGTGTATATATGTCTAGCCTTGAACTCACAGAGATCCATCTGCCTCTGCCTCCTACATGACAGGATTAAAGGTGTGGGCCACCACACTCACACAGATAGTATGAGATCTTAATAGAACAAACCATTACCTATGGAGGCCAGCATCTAAGAGACCCCAGTCATCAGGTCGTCTGCATTCACACCTTTGTAGACTCTCCCACTATGTACCAGAGTGCTACGAATAGAATACAGAAGTGATCGTATGCCACTGCCAAGACCGGGAAGCTAACTGAGCACGGCTTCCCGCCTGGGCACTCCTTGACATCATTCTTACATCCTCTTCAAGTCCATGTTCGAAGGAAGGCAGCTGTCCTAGAGGAAGTTATCCTTCTAAGATGACCAGGAATTGAGGGAACCCCTATGCCAGCAACTGGCAAAAACTGAAGGTGTCAGTCTAACAGCCAAGAATGTCTGCTTCCATGTGAAGTAGGGATTAATTAGATCCTTGCCCCACTCTTTTTGATGCAGCACCTGTAACTTTATAAGGCCCTGAAAATTCCAAGATAATAAATATATATTGTCTTAGGCTACTACATTTAGAAATACAGATTTAAGTATCCCTTATTAGAAATGCACAAGATCAAAGTTCTTCAGATTCTGGAGTTTAGTAAACTCTGGAATATTTATATTCATGAATATCACCAATTCAAAAGTCCAAAATTGTAAGAACCAAAACCTAAGTATTATGTCAATGAAAGGCCCTGGATCTCAGATTATTGCATAGGACTGCTCAGCCTGTGACTTGTTGCACAGCAGCCTTATTTGTTCCCTCTGCCCCATTAATTGGGCCTGAATCCAATCAACTGATTTATCAATATACGAAACATCTAGGAGAAAGAGCACTGGTTCAATAAAACATGGATGCTGTTGGCAACTGAAACACAAGACAGCCTATTTTCACTTAAGATGACTTACAAAGGTAGGAGAAGAGAGCTCATAACACTATAAATGTGAAACAGACAGGAGAGACTACCTTAACTCAAACAATATGAAAACTAGAAATAACTAGCACAGCCAGGCATGGCAGCACATGCTTTAAATCCCAACATTCGGGAGACAGAGGCAGGAAGATCTCTCTGAGTTCAAAGCCAGCCCAGTCTATATAGCAAATTCCAGGACAGTCAGAACTACATAGAGATACCCAGCCTCAAAAAAAAAAAAAAAAGGATCAGGATATATGAACATAGCAATTATATATTTGATGAGATTACTTTAGACAATAATAATTGTATCCTTATCTTGTGTTGGGGATGCAGTTCAGTAATAAGAGTGCTTGTTTAGCATGTGCAAGACCCTAGAACCCATTCTCAACTGTTTTTCTTTAAGTAACTGTTTATGTGCAAGTCTATGGACACTACAACGCTTCCCCTCACCAATACAAGGTAATTTTTTTTAAACCAAAACATTTCCATACAGAAATTTTTTTCAAAAGTAGAACTTGTAATAGGCATATAACACTCCACCTGTATTAGTGTCCTTCAGAGGACCCAAGACTTAGTTGTTCTCAAGGACAAGGAAGCAGCTCTACCTCGGAGCTTATCTTTTTGACAGTTGCACTTACTAAGTGAGCACCTACCCTTCTGAGAATCCCACATGTTCTCATTCTCTCCCTCTCCCTCAGAAATGAGGGTTGGAAAGTGAATGTGTTCACAATGTCCCAAACACGCTGTCCCTCCTCCCCTTAAAGATATTAACTGTGTGCCTGAGGCCTTCAGAGGCCAAAAGGTATCAGAACCCCTGAGAGTGGAGTTACAGATAGCTGTGAGTACTGGGAACTGATTCTAGTCCTCTGTGAGAACAGCAAGTGCTCTTAACTGTTGAGCTCTGTCCCCAGCCTTTTTTTTTTTTTTTTTGAAATTATGTGTGTGCATGTGTGTCTATGCATACGGGTGCAGGCACCCACAGAGGACAGAGCTATCAGATCCCAGAAGCTGGAGTTGGAGGTGGTTGTGAACCACCCAATCCAATCTATACTCTGGAAATGGAACTCTGGTCCTCTACTAAACCATCTTTCTAGTCTCCATTGCCAACGTTTTATAAAACATCTTTTACAATTCACACTCAACTATTTACAACTGAAATGATACCTAGGATTTCCTTCAAAACAGTCCCTGGGGAAAGCAGGGAGGGAGTGAAAAACACTTCACCCAGGTCACAGAGATGGCTCAGCAGTTGGCTGCTCTTCCAGAGGTCCTGAGTTCAATTGCCAGCAACCACATGGTGGCTCACAACTATCTGTAATGGGATCTAATGCCTTCTTCGTGTGTGCATGAAGACAGTACCCATATACATAAAAAAATAAACTTGATTAAAAAAAAGAAAAAAAAGTACTTCACCATGAATTTAGTTAAGGGTGAATTTTACTTACTATAATTCTACTTCTACATATTTTAAATTTTTTCTCTTAAAAGAAACGGGGTGGGCTGGAACCAGCTCTTCATATGTAAGACCTGGTTCAATCCTTAACACTTCAAAAAACAAACAAAAGAACAAAATAGTATCATCCTGAAACTGTGGTTTACTGTTTCGGCATACTGTAATCCCAATGCTTTGGAGGTAGACAATACTCAATATACATTACATACATGGACACATATATACATGCACACATACATACATAGGCATATGTAAATTAAAAAGAGAAGAAGGAAACTGCTTGGCTTTGTAATACTTTCTAAATCTAAATTAAGGAGTTAAGAAAATGAAATTAAAAGTCAAGGTCTACTTTGATCTTTTTTAAACTTTAAACATTTCCACTTGTTTATTTTGTGTTTGAAGGGAAGTCTGATGGTTTGTATATGCTTGGGTCAGGGAATGGCTGCTATGTATGGCCCCCATAGACTCGTATGTTTGAAAAAGCCTACGGGGACCAGAGAGTGGCACTATTAGGAGGTGTGGCATTGTTGGAGTAGGTGTGTCACTGTGGGTGTGGGCTTTGATATCCTAGTCCTAGCTGCCTGGAAACCAGTATTCTGGTAGCAGTCTTCAGATGGATGTAGAACTCTCAGCTCCTCCTACACCATGCCTGCCTGAATGCTGACATGTTCCCACCTTGATGATACTAGACTGAACCTCTGAACCTGTAAGCCAGCCCCAATTAAATATTGTCCTTATAAGAGTTGCCTTGGTCATGATGTCTGTTCACAGCAGTAAAACCCTAAGAGAGGGAGGGTCCCATTTTCAGCACCTGTAGTAGTAGCTAACAACCATCTTAACTCTACTTCCTCAGATCCAGTTCCTCCCTCTGACTCCCCAGGCATCAGGCATATACATATACAGACACACACTCATACACATGAAAGGAAAAAGCTGTTTGATCTTAAAAATGATTTTTAAATCAAAATTAAGAAAATGAGAATAAGAAATGGGAGGCTGAGGTCTACTCTGATTATTTTTTCATTTATTTTAAAAATTTCCACTTATGGGGCTGAAGAAATGGCTCAGCAGTTAAAAACACTGGCTCATTTTCAAAAGACCTGGGTTCAATTCCCAGCACCCCCATGGCAGCTCACAACTGTCTGTAACTAGTTTCAGAGCATCTGACGCCTACTCACAGACATGCAGGCAAAACACCACTGGCCATAAAATAAACAAAGACAAAAAGATTTCTAATATTAAAAAAAAAGAGGTGGGAGGGATTGAAAAGATGGCTCAGCAGTTAAGGTCACTCACTGGCTGCTCTTCCAGAGGACCCAGGTTCAATTCCTAGTATCCAAATGGCAGCTCACTACCATATGTAACTCCAACCTCCAGCGATCTGACATGGCCACATACACATAAAAATAAATACATCTTAAAAAAAGAAAACTTTTTCACTGTGTGTGTGTGTATGTGTGTGTGTGTGTGTGTGTGTATAGATGCCACAACATTTGTCCTCTCTTTCTACCATGTGAGTTCCAGGGATCAAACTTGGGTCATGAGGTTTGGCAGCAAACCCACTGAGCCACCTTACTAGCCCTGATCACTTTTTTAAATGTCTTGGTAAACACAACGGAACACTGACCTGAGGAGGTTCAAAATTTGGTCTCCACCAGTTCCCAATGCAGTCATCAATGACCCAGTCTTGCAGGACTCCATCTTGACGACCCAGTATCTGTGCAAAGTAGTATAGTAAGTACAATGAATAGACACACCTGAGAATTCCCTTCTTGGTAGAGACTATTTTCAATGACACTCCTAACAGCCAGTGTCTTTCCGACAGACTCCATCTCTAGAATTTAGTGCCCATTCCATTCTGTCAGAAAACACAAGTCTAGCTTAAAATCCAGCATCAGCCTATCAAAATGACCCACAAAGCTGAGCATGGTGGTACATGCCTTCAGTTCTACACTCAGGAGGCAGAGGTAGTTGCATCTCTGTGAGTTCAAGGTCTACATAGCAAGCTCCAGGCTAGCCAAGGCTACATGGTGAGACCTTGTCTCCAAAAAACCCTGTCCTTTTGCTCTGGCTATACATAGAAAACCAAAGGTGACCATTTATCAACGTCAGCCAAATAGTATGCAAGAGGTTCTCTAAAATCAACTACAATTTCAACAAATCATCCACCTAAAGTTACAAAAATGGAAAGATTGCACTTTCACAAAATCCCATTATTAATTTTTGTAACATAACATGAACTTATTTTGATCAAGTTAGACTCAGGCTGGAGAGATGGCTCAGTGATTTTTTTTCTTTTCTTTTTCTTTTTTCTTTTTCTTTTTTTTTTTTTTTGGTTTTTCGAGACAGGGTTTCTCTTTATAGTCTGGGCTGTCCTGGAACTCACTCTGTAGACCAGGCTGGCCTTGAACTCAGAAATCCGCCTGCCTCTGCCTCCCAAGTGCTGGGATTAAAGGCATGTGCCACCACCGCCTGGCTCTGGCTCAGTGATTATAACAGCACTGACTGCTCTACCAGAGGACCTGGATTCAATTCCCAGCACCCACATGGTGGCTCACAACCATCTGTCCCTCCAGTTCTAGGAATCCAACTCCATCTTTCTGACATCTGAGGGCATCAAGCACATACATGCTGCACTAATACATGCAGACAAACATCCATACACATTTATAAATAACACATTAAAAAGTTATACTCTACCCATTTCACTGGTACTATGAAGTTCAGAACAAGTAGCAATTCCCTGTCCTGTCTCACCCATCCTCAGTGGCTACAAGACTCAGCTCCGAGTTGTTTTCCCCAGTATTTGTTTCTATGTTTAAAAGTATTCCTTTTTTTTTTTTCAACTCCTTTAGAATAGTTTTACATATTAAGAAAGGCTGGGGGAGGTGGGGCTGGAGAGATAGATGGCTCAGCAGTTAAAAGCACTGACTGCTCTTCCAGAGGTCCTGAGTTCAATTTCCAGCAGCCACATGGTGGCTCATAACCACCTGTAATGAGATCTGATGCCCTCTTCTGGTGTGTCTGAAGACAGCTACAGTGTATGCATATACATACAATAAATAACTCTAAGAAAAAAAAAAGAAGAAAAAGAAAAAAGGCCAAAAACTCCCATGATACCTACACCTTTCCCAACTGTGACTATCTTACATCAGTATAACACATCTGTTAAACTAACGAATCAATACTATACCAAAGAACCCATACAGTTTTGGGGTCTCTTTAATTTCTGTACCTAATGTCCCTTTTCAGGCCCAGGATCCCATCTAAGACATGATGTAGATGGTCATCAGTTTCTCTGAGGCTGCTCTAGACGGTGACAGTTCTGTTAGTTTGATGATCTTGACAGTTTTGAGAAATACTAGTCACGATATTGAGTAGTATTTCTCAGTGAGACTGAGATTCTGGCAAGGAAGACAATAGGAGTAAAATGCCATTCTATTAGCAAATCAAATCATATCAAAGGGTCATGCTATCAATATGGCTCACCGCCAATATGAATCATGATTACTTATCTGAGGTAATGTTTTTATTCCCACACTATCTGAGAGCTCAGATAGGTTTTCAGTTCAAACAGCAATCACTACCCGTCTCCCCTTTCCTCTCTCAGTCTGCTCTGCTCTGCTCTGTGCACAGCCCAGTTCACAGCTGAGCACAAGGCCGCCTTAGGCCTTTCTCCTACAGCGCTGGACATTCATATTCTGATTATATCATTATTCCTGCCTTATTCCTTCATCTTGGTAGCAAACTTTCTCTGTTGTCTCCTGAGAAACAGTAGAAGGCATAATGCAGTTTTGAAATTTCTGCAAGAGTTAAAATAATTATTTTCTCCTTCAGTGCTTTTATATTAAAGAGTTCTGGTATGAAAGTGATATTCTTTCAGAATTATGAAGGCATGATTCAGATTTTTGAGCTTCCTGTATTGCTTCAGGGAGATTTGAGGCATTTCCTGATTTTCCTTTTAAGATTTTATTATTGTACAGTGTGTATAGGTGAGTGAACCGCAGTGTACATGTAGAGGTCATAGGACAACTTTGTGGGGTCAATTTTCTCCCTCCTGTATGTGGGCTCTGGAGATAAGAGCCCAGTTCATCAAGCTTAGTAACCAGCAAGCACCTTTACTGAGTCATCCCACCAGCCCTGCTAAAGTCTTCTAAGTGGCTGGCCCCTTGTTTCACAGATACAGCATCTCCTCCATTACTCCAGGAGAATCATGACTTTTGTGACTCATTTAGCTTCCATTTGGCTGAATTCCTTTTGCTCTTTTAGACCGTATTTTCTTAAAGCTTTCTTCACAAGCCTATGATACAGCTGCTCACCAGGTGCAGGAGGTCTGACACAGCTATGTCCCTTCGTAAGATCCAAATAAAATCACCTAGTTTTCTTGGACTGGTCACTCTGCAGAGCAGAGATCTGCAGCCCTCTGTCTGGGAACCATCCTCTCAGCTAGGAGCTGAGTTCTGCTGCACACTGCACAGCTGCTCACAATCCGGCCTCACAGTGAGACTCCTACACTGCTTACCAGTCAGGATCAAAGTTTTCAAATATTCTCCCATCTCTTCAACATTTTACTGCTAAATGTTAGCTGATTCAATGCCCACTGACTCAGTCAACAGTCAGTCCTGGCTCAACTGGACAGAACGGGAAAGACAATGTAGATCAATATAACCTTTATAAGATTCAACCAATCCAGCTGGCGCATGGACTCACTGGCCCTGGAATCTAGCAGCCAGCGGCAATTCCTCAGCCTTTCTGTTCTTCACTGCTGCATTCCGGACTGGCACCCTGCTGAGCTAGTTTCTGCTAAGTCTATGGTGGTATGCCCAACAGCCTTCCCGCTCTCTAACTTAGTTATCACTTCATCTTTTTGATACTGTCTCATTTTGCATTCCATAAATACTACTGAATTTATAACTGTTAAAAATTACTTTCCTCCTGACTTTTGGTATTTTTCAGAAGAACCAGAATAAAAGTGAGTAGGTTTCCTCTGAAACCTCTACCAAAATGGCAACTTAGCATTATTGTTTCATCAACATTTTTGTTTTATTTTATTTTATTTAGCAACAAGGTCTCATTCTGTGGCCCAGCTGGCCTAGAATTCACTATGTAACCTAAATGGTCTTGAACTCAGGATAATCCTTCGGTCTTAGTTTAAGATTACAGACTTGTTTATTTTCCAGAAAATAATTTATATTAATTCAGATTTAAGTTCTACTTACTGACTACTAACTGCTCAAATTAAATTTATTTTTCCAAGACACATGAAAATTTGATTATTAAGTTGGTAGCATTCAGATGGGCAATAAAATTGTCAAAGTAGTTAAACAGAAAAATACCTCTGTCATTAAGCGTTTCAGTCCTTCAACTTCATCTTCTCCTGGGTTAAGTTCACCTCCAGGTCTATAAAAGGTCAGAAATTTCAGCTTACAATTTAATACAACTTGGGGATAATAGCAAGAACATAATAATCATCATTTCTATCAGGTAACTGATAAGTCACATTTTAGTGACATTTGATAATCAATCAAAACAAGGGCCAAAGGTAGGGGACATTCTGGGAAGTTCATTCTATAATGTTAGGCATCAAACCACTGTATATAATCCTAAGTTTAAACAGCAAAACTAATATATTTATATATAAATATAAATACGCACACACACAATCACTGGCCAACAATCCATCACTGCCTCCTCAAAGGAAAGCTAGATCTAATGAAGTTTAGCAAATAAATACCCAGAGAATAGACTACATTCTTAGAGCTGAAGAATGGTACATTTTTCAAGACTATAAACTTAGTTTTCTGCCTTTTTTTTTTTTGGGGGGGGGGCACAACCTGACCAGTGGGCAAGTAAACATTTAAAGAGTTATAAGCTCAAGTGATTAAACTACATGAAAACAACTGAATTCAGTAACGCTCCCATCCCTTTGAGAAACTGAGTTTGGCCTAATCTAGTTCTTTGGAAAGGAAACAAGCATTGCACTGAAGGAAAATCATGACTTTTCTTTAAAGACTCTGTCATAGTATTTGTTTAAATAAAGAAAAGCTAAGCTTGTATTTTAAGCTGCATTAAAACAGCCATTTTTTATAAGCTGTCTTGCTGTAATTTCCAACACTACTTACAATTTGAAGAAGGTTGTTCCCAGCTGTAGCAGTAACACGTGGGGTAGGCGGTGTTCGTGTACAATCAGAACCCCTTCTACAGTCCTTCTCATCCCAATCTTATCAAATTCCTCCCTCATGCGCTGAAATCTGGCTGCAACGGAACTGTCCTTCTCATAGAGGGGCTCCTTTGTACCGAAAGTATAGTTGGTAAGTGGGTACCTGTGAGCCAAAACAAGCATTAGCATAAGAACCAACGGACTTTTTTTTACCAGACAGTTCAAAATAACACATACAGAAACCATACAAAACTACACTGTGCTCAGAAGACCAGTCAAAGAAGTAGCTATGAGATAGCAGAGATCAGAGGACTGCTGCTGCCTGACTCCTGAATCCAGAGCTTCCACGCATCAGTCATAGACAGCACTGCCCTAAGGTCCCTGAAATGCTCAGCAAAATGCTTATCTATACTGGTTTTAGATCATTTCGTGGCACCAGAAGTACAAGCCTGGTTTCTCTGCCTAATGTAGTTCTGACTTCTATTAACCAGCCTGCACTAACAGCTCATCTGTTTCTCCTATGGCTGAGCCACTACAGCCTATCAGCAGCTCTCTAGCTGCTTTCCTTTTAATATCCTTAAAAATGAGTTTCTGTACACATATGTGTATAGTGTTCTATAATGTGTGTCTGTGCTCTCCTTTCACCATGTGGGTTCTGGGGAACTGAACTCACATCATCAGTCTTGGCAGCAAGCACCCCCACCCACAGAGCCACCTCACTGGTGGCGCCAATTATTTTCTGTTTTTCCCAGTTTTAGATTTTTCTAGTTCCTTTTCAGATTAACTTTACTTCTTCATTTTTTGGCTTGCTTGGTTTTTGAAAGAGTTGCCCTGGAACTCACTTGTAGAGCAGGCTGGCCTTTAAACACTGAGACCTGTCTGCCTCTCCCTCCCAAGCGCTGGGATTAAAGACCAGTGGCTTAGACTCATTTTCTTTTCCCCTCTGAGCCTTGTGTAAGAGAACCCAAATTTGACTTAAAGTGTTGAAGACTTAATCTTGCTGAGTAAAGATCAAATCCATATTTATATCTTATCACACATTCTACCTTGCAGCCCCTTGATTATAGTTTTTTTTTCCTTCAGTAAGGATATTTTAACTGAACGTGGCTAATCCCAAAGTATTTCATCTACCAAAACCCCCTTGATATTGGCCTGGGAAGACAGTCAGTAAAGTACTCATCAAGCAAGCATGAGGACCTAAATTCAACCTCCAGCTCCCACTGTTGGGAGGTTTTGTGTACTGTGTTCTCAGGTACTGATTTCTATACCCAGACACCTGGTTACAGTCCTGACAATGGCAAGGTCAAGCATCTCCAGTCTCAGTGTTATGTAAAAACTATTTTCCATCACCTCTGATGGGTTAATAAAGAGCTGATCTGCCAATCAGCTGGGCAGAAGAGAATAGGGCAGGACTTCTGATCCCAGTCTGTGGTCTCAAGAGGAAAAGGGAAAGAGAGGAGGAAGAAGGTGGAGAGAGCAACCACGGCCACGAGGACACACACGGACCAGAGTGAGCCAGGGCAAGACTGAGATTCAGACAAAAGACCATTTGCCTAGATATTGGTAGCCTAGTTGAATTAGAATAGCTCAGAAACTGCCCAGCATAGTGCCTGCAGCTTGTTAATAAAAATACCAAATCCTTTTATTCAGGATTAAAGTGGGCACTGTTTGTCATTACCTGGGAGCAAAGGGGAGAGGGGGTAGAAAAACTCCCAGAATTATATTTACAACCTATCCAAAACAAACAATAAAACCCACCAACTACCACACACACAAACAAATCTGAGCACGGTGGTCCCACTGTTATGGACCTGAAGACAGATGTATTTCAGAGGTTCACTAGCCAACCAGCCTAGCTTACTCTGTAAGTTCAAGGATAGTGAGGGACCCTGTCTCAAAAAAAAAAAAAAAAAACACAACTGAGTAGGAAGGGGCTGGAGGGCTAGCATATAGAGGCACACCTGCAAACACTACAAACCTGAGCTGGGGAGAGGCTCATGAGTAAAGCACCTGACATGCAAACTGTATCTGAAGTGGAACCTCCAGAACCCATGCAAACCTGGCTGCAGTAGGCACACCTGAAATCCCAGTGCTCCCACAGCAAGCTGGATGGCAGACAGAAAAATCCCTGGAAGTTTGAGTCAGGCAACCTGACGCAGCAGATCAAAACGAGGCCATATTCTCAAAGAAGAAGGTGACTCCTGATATTGTCTTGATTTCCACACATGTGCTGTGACCCAGGCACATCGTACATTCACAAATGCTGTGAACACAAACATATATACCCCACATACACAACTATATGCATCTGCATGAATGCATACAGCATACATGTGCAACATGCACAAAACACTCTCGACGGTAATAGTCAACTACACACTCTCCTCAGGTGTTCTTGAGAAGGGAAATCAAGGTAGCCAAAAGGAAAACATTAATTCCCAAAGTCAAATTCTAAACACAAAGTAGCTCTAAAATAATAAAAACATAACATTTTCAGAAGACTTTAAAGATTATAAACAAGTTTACAGTCAATCCAAAATTCAATCTTATACTATAGACAACTTTATGTACTGTACAAGGCTTTACATGTGTCAATGTGTGGTTTTCCCAACCTACATTAGAAAGAATTGAGACTAGCTACGAGACATTTCTATTGCAAGGGCTATCTATCTCATACATCACAGGATCTCAACGGAACGAAATCTTCAAGTTTCCAGCTGTGAAATCTGAGCAGCAGCCCACAAAGAGCAAATTTTCCACATCATACTGTGGGCATCTCAAAGCAGAGTGTGCATCTAAACCCCTGGCCATGAGCATGCACGCTGTGGTACATCAGGACCCGTCCAGAGTTTCCTAAATGGGAATGTACTGCAGAAACAAAGACTTACTTCCCACTTAATGAGTAATTCACCCAGGTGAACTCAAGTTCACAGCACAGTAATTTAACTTCTCAACACTGCATTTACATAGAAAGTGGAAAGTAACATACTCAACCTGCAAAACATCTTGCTGAAAGCACATCTATTTCAACAACTCTACACAATGGCCTGATAGGAAACGGACCCCATAATCAGGGAAAGTTTAAGTAAGACCCATGATTCTGGCTTATAGATGAAGTAATGCAGAACTTATGCTTCCAATTTTTTTTTTACTTTTCTGAGGTGCTGGAGACAGAATCCGGGGCATTCCACACACTAGGCAAGCCCACTGCCAGTTAGCAAACTACTCCTGCACGCATCCATTTTATGGGGATCTTATAAACATTTAAGTGACAGGTTATTAAAGTGCTACTGTGTAGTGTGGGACAAAAGTAAATTTGCATAGACACAACCGTCAAAATTTCCACATTTTAAAAACCTTGTATTTCATTACCTAAGTTTGCACGCCAGTACTTGTTTTGCCAAAAAGCAATAATAGTAGTTGTTCTTGAAAACAGTTCTCAAGAGCTCAAGAAGTTTTCAATTTTATGTCACATTTAGTTTTAGGAGGAAAGGCTTATTTATTTGAATATGAAACAGAGAAACACTAAAATGACTTACCCAAACCCCACTGTCGGCAATGTCTTGCACATTTTAAACTAATAACCAGCCTACACTGGATACTATTTCCCATTACAATCAGCTCCTCACTGGGAAATGAGATACCAAACACCATATAAACTATATCCCAATTTCTTGCTACAACAAAATTCTGTTGTGAGTAATCCAGAAATGCAATCACTTGCTTAAGAAATAGGTTTGTTAAAAACAAAAACAACCTGCAAACAGGCTGTCTGGGCAACACGTCAGGTACCTCCAACCATCTGAAGGTACAACCAGGCAACAGTGTGTGTACTCCCAATTTAGGTCTACTGGGAGTCTGCGATGTTGTATGCTGTCACTTTGGTAGATAAGACATACAAATGCAAAAGGGTAGACCAAACATCGCGAAAATGAATAAAATGTGGTCACTGGATGGAATACTACACATTTAATGGGAAAAAACTAGGCTGTCAGAGGTTAATCTGGAAAATTTACTGTACAAGAAATGTACACCCTACAAAATTGATAAGTATTCAAACAAACACAAACACAAGTGAGATGAATCCACCAGCAACGGATTGAAAGAATACACACATTATGATGAATTCAAAGTAAACGTGGGTTTTAACCATGACTGAATGAAGAGAAAGGGGGAACGAGCCTCGTTTTAAAATAGGAAACCTGCCAAGTCGGGGTCGAGAAACAGGTCTAGGAAAGAAAGCGCGCATCCCGGAAGAGACAAACCGCATCCGGCGTGAGGGAGGCCGCGCCGCACTTACAGGTTAATGGTGCGCTCCAGGGTGAGGGGCTTGGTCTGCTGGATGTACTTGTTGCCGAACTGGTTGACCCCCCGGGGCCAGCCCGTCTGCGAACGATTGGGCGGCACCACAGACATGCTGAACAGCTCCGACACTGGCGACGTGCAGAAAGCGGGGGGCCCGGGAGACGTCCGCGGGGCGGGCAGCGGTTATCTGCGTCCCGCTCAGCAGCCACCGCCCGCCATTAACAGTCGAGAGCAAGAGGAGCGGAACACACGCCGGAAGTGAATACGCTCCGGCGGCAGGAAGTTGGGAGGCAGTCCACCGTGACCATTCTACCAATTGTTGGCGGCGTGACGCAATATGTTGATCTTCCATTGGATACTTGTATGTAGACCCCGCCTCCTTATGCTTTGGTGCCTTTCCATTGGATAATGCTATGGAATATAAAGAAAGAGGATTTTCGGGAACTGTAGTTTCTGGAGAGAAACGGCATCCTGGCTACCGTGGCGTGGGTCTGTGTGTATCCTAGGAAGATGAACGGGAAACGGCCGGCGGATCCCGGCCCAGCACGGCCAATGAAGAAGGGAAAGAAGCAGGTAGCGGCAGAGTTTTCGGACGCTGTCACTGAGGAAATCCTGAGGAAGCAGGTGGCTGAGGCCTGGAGCTCCCGGACGCCGTTCAGCCACGGTAATGGGGTACTGTGAGGGAGGCGCGGCGGCAAGAAGAGGTGTGGGGAGGATCGCAGCCACCTCCAACCCCGGCGCCGATTGCTGCTCGGTTCATTCCAAATTCTGCTGGATTTGAAAAGCCTGGGGAGGAGAATAAATATAAGCTCTCGACAGTGTGGGGAAGTGGAGACATATAGACTGGAATTCTAGAATCAGAGGTCACTCGTAGAATCTCTCTGCTGATTGTACGTCATTGGGTAATGCATATAACTTTGCTTAAGGGTCAGTTTCTTCTTTTATAAAACGGAATCGTTAATAGTATTCCCCCTCTGAAAGATGGGATTGACAAACTAATGCTTGTAGACATAAATGTTTTCCTGAGAACCGGTAAATAGCTAGCGAGGGTCACTCTCCGATGTTACATGACCATCTAACCCACGCTGGTGTTGAGAGGGGCCAGAGAAGCAAGCATCTGAATTTACCAGTTTTCACATGCCTTGTCATTGGCCTCAGTGACGCACAAAAAGAACATATCTTGAAAGGAACCTTCATTCCAGACATAGCTACAAGTTATTACCTTAAAAATGTGAATCTGGCTGGGTGCGTCTTGAATTTTCCCAGACTGGCTGGTTGTTTGTTTGTTTGTTTGTTTGATTTGAGTGTTTAAAGAAGGGAACCCTGGGTGCTCAGGATTCAGACAGAAGATGATTACATAAAATGCAGGCTCTAGCTGCTCAGAGACTTTTCAGTTTCCTTGTCTGTTGCAAAGGCGTAGTGACTATATTAGCTATTCCTCAGTTATACAGAATGTAAATGAAATAATGCTTTTATGGCACTACTGGGCCAGGCTCTTAGTAGGTCAGGATTGGTTGTTACTCCTAATCTAGTGGAAGGGAAATCATCTTAGAAGAGGTTAAAAACCACCTGATTTTAGTCACCCCACTCCCAGAAACTTGGTGAAAGAAAGGGCAGGATTGATTAAAGAGAAATGGCCAGCCAGCTTTGCTACTCTTGAGTAATTTGCTATTCTTGTTTTACTTTGCACTGGAGAGAATAAGCTAAATATCTAAAATGTGGGGCTAGAGGGGTGGCTCAGTGGTTAAGAGCACTGACTGCTCTTCCAGAGGTCCTGAGTTCAATTTCCAGTAACCACGTGGTGACTCACACCATCTGTAATGGGATCCGATACCCTCTTTATGTACTCATGTACATAAAACAAATAAATGAATAAGTCTTTTAAAAAAAGAAAAAGAATCTAAAATGCATTTGATGCAAGAATCAGTAAACTAAATAACTCAAAATAAAAAACAAGAGCTTCCATTGGTGTCTTGCCTTCCACTCATTAAAGCCTAACACGGAAGCACAGTATCTGAGAACAGTAGCTTTGAATGCATAAAGGGATGACACAAGGCATAGTTCTTCTTGAATCTTAGACTTTAACTATTAGGCTTCCAGAACTTCATGATGGTCTCTTTGTATTCTGTTATGCTACTTGGGGATCAAACATACAGAAGAGAGGCAAGACTAGGGTACTGTTTTCCTTTCAACAGAAGCTATTGCCCTGGACATGGATCCTTTTCTTCACTGCGTGATCCCAAACTTCATCCAAGGCCAAGACTTCCTGGAAGGACTTCAGAAAGAACTTCTGAGCCTGGACTTCCATGAAAAGTACAATGATTTATATAAGTTCCAGCAGGTATTTATTCTCATTGCATTCATTGGCTCTTCCTCCTCAGAAATTCCTTAGCTATAAAATTGTCCTCTAATGGTGGCTGCAGAGATAGCTTAGTGGTTAAGAACACTTACTGCTCTTCCAGAGGATCCACTCGGTTCCCAGCACCAATATCAGGGGGTTCGTGAGCCTCTAAAATCACCCAATGCACTTACCCACAGACAGATACACATACATCCATATAATTTATCTATTAAGACTCAAGGTTCTAGATTAGGTGTGCTATCAAGCATCTTCACCTTGGCATTGTTGAACATTCCTTTAACATGACCTTAATGAGTGTTAACTATGTATTAATTGCTGTGACAGTTACAAGGGAGATTTTGACAAATTCTGCCCTCCAACGTCTACAGTAACAGAGATGATAGTAACAGAAATGAAGAAGAAATACTTTAAACTAGTAATTAGGGGTGACGTATACTTGAGCAGTGGCATAGTGAAGAGTCTTCTAGTTGAATATAATAGCCATTCAAACTCTTGGGTTCACGCCTTCGCTTTTGTGACTTGACATATTGCAGTTAAAATATTCTGCACTGCAGCCGGGCAGTAGTGACGCACGCCTTTAATCCCAGCACTTGGGAGGCAGAGGCAGGCGGATTTCCGAGTTCGAGGCCAGCCTGATCTACAGAGTGAGTTCCAGGACAGCCAGGGCTACAAAGAGAAACCCTGTCTCGAAAAAACAAAAACAAACAACAACAACAACAAAAATTCTGCACTGCAATGTATCTAGTAAAAAGGGAAAACTGTGTTGTTCCTTTGGGGAATAGGAGTGCTGTTTTGATCCCAACACTATGAGTATACTAAGCACATACTCTACCACTGCTTCACCCCCAATTTTACATTCTTTTTATGGTGGACAATATAATTTAGCAAAAGGAGCTATCTTGAAATCAAAATATTGCTTATCTACTCTTAGAAGATAGGTCTATGTAGTACAGAAGTACAAGTCACTGGTTTCCCAGTATGAAGTTGTCTTCAACACATGATTCACTCTCTCATAAACTCTCTAGGCTGTCAGGATTGAAAAATTCAAAAAGGGGCTGTAGAGATGGCTCAGCAGTTCATCGCCCTGGCTGCTCTTTAGGGGACCTGCATTCTAGTCCCAGCACCTATGTGGTCGCCCCCACCCATCTATAACTCCAATCTCAGGGAATTCAACACCCTCTTCTGGCCTCCAGGGACACCATATGAAATATAGACACATAAGAAAAAGACCCATACCTGTAAAATAAAATTAAAATAAAATGATGGAGCAGATGAAGAATTATCTCTGCTTGCTTTGCATTTCCCCTTTGATTTTATCTAGAATAAGAGAGTGATTAACATCTTCTTTTATGCTATTCCTGATCATCTGTTCCGATCCTACCCCACTCCAATTTGTAGACCTTGTACATAGGATTGTTACCCAACCTAAGTACTCACATGATGAGACACTCAGAAATTCTAATGAAAATCAAACTTTTATCTCAAGTAAAGTTTATTGGGCTAATGAAAAACCATGGTTATCTGCTGTTATAACTATTTCAACTTTTCAAACCTAAGCCGTGTCTAAATTGAGGTGTGTATGTGTGTGTGTGTGTAGCAATGTGGATGCACATCTGTACCTTTTCTCAGGCACTATCCACCTTTATTTTGAATCAGTTTCTCGTTGGCCTGAAGTTCATTATCAAGTAGGCCAGGCAGGCTGACCAGTGAGCTTAGCACTGAGATTATAAGCACATACCACCCAGCTTCTTCTCTGTGGGTTCCGGGGACTGAACCTAAATCCTTATAGTGGTCAGGCAAGCATTGTAATGACTGAGCTATCTCCTCAACCCCACAATGGTTCTTCTTTGATGCTGTTTGACAAAAGAAAGTATTTTGTTAATATGAAGTTAGAATGAGCAAAAAACAAAAACAGACCAAAAAAAAATGGCTGTGGGTGGTAAACAAGAGAGAAAAACTATTGCCTGTTATAAATTCTTTTTACCTTGCTCACGTTTACACAGGATCTCTTTACCCGGATACTTCGTCTTTGCATGTGCTATCAATTAGCAGATAATTGGGTCTCTGAAATAGTCTAACCATCTCATGGGCGATGGTTTATATATGCTCAGCCCAGAGAGTGGCCCTGTTGGAGTAGGTATGGCCTTTATGGAGGAGGTGTGTCACTTTGGATGTGGGCCTTAGGACCCTCATCCTAGCTGCCTGGAAGCCAGTATTCTGCTAGCAGCCTTTAGATGAAGATGTAGAACTCTCAGCTCCTCCTGTACCATGCCTGCCTGGATGCTGCCATGCTCTCACCTTGATGATAATGGACTGACCCTCTGAACCTGTAAGCCAGTCCCAATTAAATTGTCCTTGTAAGACTTGCCTTGGTCACGGTGTCTGTTCACAGTAGTAAAACCCTAACTAATGCAGAAGTTGGTACCAGGGGCTGTGGTATTGCTGTGATAGGCCTGACCATGCTTTTGTTTGGAAGAATGTGGATTTGAGGACTTTGGATTTGGAAAGCAGTGGAATGCTTTAAATGGGCCTTAATGAGCCATCCTAGTAGGAATATGGAAGACTGTGTTACTGAGAGTAATTTGAATTGTGCAAACTTGGACCAAGAGGTTTCAGTGAAGAATTTCAATATGTGGCTTAGAGATGGGTTTGTGGTATTTTGGTGAAGAATGTGGGTATTTTTTGCTCTTGTCTGAAGGGCCTGCCTGAGGCTAAGGAGAAGAGACTCAGATCAATTGCATTGACAAGGGAAGTCTCAGAAACACCCATCATCCACTTTGCTCTCTGGTTAAGTCTCATGAAGAGTGTTTTAAATAAGTGTAGCAATCTGAGAAAGGAAAAATATAAAATATATGGTTTGAATTTTAATGGGGCACCAGGAAGTGAGATGAAGCTGAATCTTGTGTTCAAGGACATTCAATTGAATTAAGGGAGAAGTGGCCTTGGGACAGGATCCCACCCAGCTCAATTTAGGTCCAAGTGTGGTTGTGCAAGCCTTTAATCCCAGGAGGCAAAGACAAGCTGGCGTCTGAGTTCAAGGCCAGCCTAGAACAGAGCAAGTTTTAGGTGAAGAAAAACTTAAATCTAAGCTTTGTGGACCACACCTTTAATCCCAGTGCTTAGGAGACCGGCATGCAGATCACTGAGTTCAAAGTCAGTCTACAGAGCAAGTTCCAGGACAGCCAAGCTTAGGTAGTGAAGGAGTTGGAAAACAGAAAGCTGGTGATAATATAATAGAACAAGGGGCCATGTTCCAGCCCCAGCAAGCAGCAGAACTTGACAGCTTTGGCATGTGGCTCTGGCTTTAGAGTCCAGACTAGAAGGGACTACTGAGACAATTGATGCTGGTTATCTGGAGCTAAAAAATTAGTGGTGATTAAGAAGAGACCCACATTACTGAGGTGAAATCTTCTGGGAAGTGTTTTCTGAGGGCACAAAGAAGTGTGTTCCAGAGATAGCCAAGGTTGTACCTCGTGCTGCAGCTGTTCTTGGTAATGTGTAAGAGTCACCCAGGTGGTACTGGTTTTGAAGGCATAAAGGGGTCATGAAGAGCAGCTGAGGCTTGGCACTGTGAGAGGCCATGGAAGGCTGTTGATGAAGGTGCAGCCTTTGTTACAGTTAATGACCCAGAACTGAAGAGGTCATGTAAAGGAGTTGAGGCTTGGCACCATGAAGAGAGCCTATGAGGGGCTATTGGTGAAGCTTAGTTGCAGCACAAGACCCCAGTGTGCTGGAGATGTCAGTACCATGGAATGATCACCAAGAACAACAGCAACAGTGAAGTCGATCAAAATGAGCTTAAGAGTACTATAAGAGGACAGAGCTGCAGAAGTAACACCAGCCCTTTGGAGGAGCCCAGAAGATCATGTGTGGATCCCAGACATTAAAACAAGAAGCTGCCTTGGAGACCCCAAGATGTTCAAGACGCCAGAGCTGTGGGCTATCTGCTGAGGAAAGCTGCTAACAGGGAGTGGAACCAGCCCAGGAGAAAAAAGTTTGTTGCAGTGAACAGAGATGAAAAGGAGTTGAAAATCTGAAGACTGCTGTGATGTCAGACAAGGAGATGCAGAGTGTGTCTTGCTTTGGGGATTACAGTTAAGTGATTGGATGAATCTCAGAAGAGACTTTGAACTTTGGACTTTTAACATTGTTGAGACTGCTATAGACTATGGGGACTTTTGAAGTTGGACTAAATGTATTTTGCATTATACTATGTTTAGCTATGGCCTCTATAGACTCATATGTTTGAACAAGCCTATGGGGGCAGGGAGTGGAATATGATGATTTGTATATACTCAGCCCAGGGAGTGGCCCTGTTGCAGTAGGTGTGGACTTTTTGGAGTAGGCGTGGTACTGTGAGTGTGGGCTTTAAGACACTCATCCTAGCTGCCTGGAAGCCAGTATTCTGCTAGCAGCCTTCAGATGAAGATGTAGGGCTCTCAGCTCCTCCTGCACCATGCCTGCCTGGATGCTGCCATGCTCCTGCTTTATGATAATGGACTGAACCTCTGAACCTGTAAGCCAGCCCCAGTTAAATTGTCTTTATAAGACTTGCCTTGGTCATGGTGTCTGTTCCCAGCAGTAAAACCCTAAGGCATAATACATCTGCCATTAGGATTTATGTAGTAGCCTGTATATTTTAAGCATTACTAAATGCAAACTTTATGACAGCCCAAGCATTTCAGTCATTAAGTTCTCATCAGAATTCTGTGAAGGAAATGTACTACTATTCCTGTTTTCCTGGTAGGAAACTATATACATTTTTCCTTCACTTCTGGATCATCCCTTTAAAGTAACAACAATAACAGAAACCTGTTGGATTTTTTTTTTCATTAATTTTCAATTAAATGAAAATTTAAAAGCTCTTGAGCTAACTTCCTCTTCTATTTCCACCCTGGTTTTTGTTTGTTTGCTCACTTGTTTTGAGGTTAGTTTGATTTGGTATGATTTGTTTGATTGTTTGGAAACTGAGTCTCTAGATAGAGCCAGGGCTAACCTCAAACTGACACTCCTCCTGCCTGTTCCTTCAGGGTAGGGAGGGCCCAGGCCTGTGACATCACACCCTCTAGCACAGTTCTTTCCTTTTCCTCTCTTCCTCCTGGCAGTACACTGTATCACGCTTTTGACTTCCGCTCCTCTGGAACTATGCCTATTGAGGTCGCTCAGGCCTCCACATAAATAAATACTACCTAAACTTGGCATTCTTTGGCCTTTTATGAGACTGACACATATACACTATGCTACAAAGGCAGGTAATCCTCCTTCTCTCAGAAGCATTTGCACATTTCTCCTCTCCTTTCAGGGTACCATACTGACTTTATTCTTTTTCTGTTTCTGTGAAGAGACACTATGGCCAAAGTAACGTATAGAAGAAATCATATTATGAGCACTGACAGATCCAGAGGGTTAGAGACCATGACCAGCCATCATGGTAGGGAGCATAGCAGCGGGCAGGTAAGCATGGTTCTAGAGCAATAGCTGAAAATTCACTTCACACACAAGCACGAGGCAAAGAGCTATAGCTAGAAATCTCATGAGCTTTAACAGCAAAGCCCACCCCCAGTGACACATCTCCAACAAGACCATACCTCCTGTTCCTTCCCTGAAGTCCACCAATTGGGAAGTAAGCATTTAAATACATAAGCCTGTGGCTTCCATTCTCATTCTAACCACTACACATACTGTCTTAATTTTTCTTCTTTATTGTTAGAGAACTTTTTCTTAGTTTCCTCTGCTGGATTTTCTCCTTATAACCACTGTTTTTTAAAAGTTTCATTAATATTATGGGGGAAGGCATGGTCGGACGGTCAGTCAGAGGACAACTCTGTGGTACTGGGCCTCGCCTCTCCTTCCACCGTTATGTGGGTTCCAGGTAGCAAACTCTAGTCAGCAGGTTTTCACACAAGCACCTTTACACACTTAGCCATCTCGCCAGCCCATATAACCAACTTCCTAATGACAGAGTGCTTCTTAATGCCAGAACTACTCAAGGGTTCGATCTCTGAACTAAGATCGAACACAGATTTCCATGGAGCCTCATAGCTTTCTGTCTCTTCTTGGATGTCTTATAGGAGTCTCAGGCTTAGGACCAACATTAAACTAATCTCCTTTAGCTGATTCTGTTGTTGCTCTTGATCAAAATGAATCCATTCCTAACTCCCGGTTCACTCCTCACATCCTGTCTACCGAGGACGCATCCTTCACTGCATCCCAGAACACTTCCTACACTTCCACCATCAACAGAGTTTATCCCGTCCAAGCTGTCCCTCTCACCATAGTTATCGTGTTGGCGTGCTCACCAGTCTCCTCGCTTCACCCACCTACGTAACTGTCACCATTATGTTCCTTTCTGTAAGTGGATTCAAGAGAATTGGAAAATTAATGTTCATATCAGAACTTTCTCACAAATGTTCATAGAAATACTGTTTATAGTAGTTGTAAAGTAAAAGCAACTAGATGTGTATCCACTGAGTAACGGGTAAACGAAATGCACTGTTCCAATCTAGTGGAGAGTGAGTCCAAGCTGCAACGTGAATGAACCTTTTAAACATTTTGGTGAATGACAGAAGCCAGACTCTGGAGCCAGTGAGATGGTTCAGCAGGTAGGAACACTTGCCTCTGAGTTCAGAACTCACATAAAAAGGCTAGATGTGGTGGCAAGCATCTGTAATCCTAGCTTCCTCTGGTAAGGTGGGAGGCGGAGGCAAGAAGCTCGTGGGCCAGCTAGCCTGGAGTCTGCAGTACAGTAGAAACAAGAGACACCATATCTCAACAAGGTGCTGAACCCTGCTGTTGTCCTGTGACCATGGCACAGCCATAACACATTAGTATTACACATACTAATGCATATATACACCTACTATTATTAATGAATATACATAAGTTAAAATAAGAAGCCAGACTCAAAATGTTAATTGTTATGTGATTTCTTTTAAATGTCCACAATAGTCAGATCAGCCATAAAAACAAAAACTAGGATAATGATTGTTACAAGCTGGTAGTAGAAAGGATGGAGCCTGACTCTCTAATAGATACAGGATTTCCTTTTGGAGTGTTAGATTCTGGGCTTGTGCAATATGGTTGGCCACATCATGCATGTGTGAAACCTGTAGAATTAGATACTTTCCTGTGGTTAAAATGTTAGATTCTATACAGTGAGGATTTCCTCTCATGATTTTATCTTATGGGGGATGGAGAGATGGCTCAGAGTTAACACTGGCTGCTCTTCCAGAGGTCTTGAGTTCAAGTCTCAGCAACCACATGGTGGTTCATCACCATCAATAATGGGACCTGGTGCCCTCATCTGGTGTGTAGACAGAACACTGTATACATAGTAAATAAATATTTTTTTTAAAAAAAGATTTTTATCTCATGTTCCTTTTTTTGCCTGAAAACTGATGACTCTTCATTTCTTCAGGTGATAGCCAAAGTCCATAGGGTGGCTCCAGGCCAACACGGAGCCTTGGATCAGCCCTTTGAGCCTCATCTCCCTCTGCTTCCCATTTGCTTCCCCAGCCACTTAGTTTCTCTACAGCATTTTGGATACATTTGCCTCTTCCTCATTGAAGTCTAGCCTGGGTACCCTACTTCTCACTGCAGACCTTTTCCACTCCTCAGCCCAGCCCATTCTTCTCTGCCTGTAGTTGTTCCGTGCATGTGTCACCTTTAGCTAATAAACCACATTTTATCTTTCCTCTATGTCTAATTCAACAAACCTAAACTCTGTAATAACCACTTAGCTATTTGTTGGTTGAATGATGTACAAATGTGACAGGTCACTTACCCACGTCAGAGCTGCAAGGTGGAGTGGTCACACATCAGACCAGGTAGTTCTCTTCAGAGTCTAGGCTCTTAACCACAGAATTCTACTATCAGAGTCCTTACTGTTCTTTGCATGTTTTAACAAGGAAATCTTTTTTTTCCCCTTTATGATCAAGTCTGATGATTTGAAGAAGAGGAAAGAGCCTCATATCTCAGCTTTAAGGTAAGCAAGTAATTACATTTGTTGGGTGCTAAATGTGTGCTAGGCACAACACTGAGTTTTAAATATTAGATCATAAAGTCTTTGTTGACATCATTGTGTTTGGTAAAGGAGGTAACAAACCCTAAGAAACTAGATAACTTCTTTAACAACCAAACAGTAACTGAGGGAGCTAAGATACAAGTTTAAGCCTTGGATTGTTGGTCACCCTCTCTTTTCCCCCTCCCTCCAGTCCTCCCTTCCTTTCTTTTTCCCTTCATTCCAGACAGGATCTTAGGCTGGTTTAGCACTGTCTATGTATGTAGCTCAGGCTGGCCTAAAAGTCATAGAAGTCCTCCTGTCTCAGATTACCAAGTGCTGATTACAAACATGAGTCACCATGCCTGACTCCAAATTCTTAATAATAAAATGTTTGGCTTTCTTAGTTACGGAGGAAACAGTAACGGTGGAGATAGCAGTTTCTGCTCATGAAGCTAGACAGTCCTGAAAAGTAAAACTCCAGTGTTGACAGATACATTTTCATGCTGCCACACTACTTTAGAAATTGGTGTGTCCAAACCCTTAAAAGTATGTATTTTAAAAAGTTATTAGGCTCATGGGTGTTTTGCCTGCTTGTATGCATGTGCACCATGTGTGTGTAGTGCCCATGGACATTAGAAGATGATTTGGGAACCCATGGAACTGGAGTTCCAGATGGTTGTGATCTGCCATGTGGGTTCTGGGAACTGAACCCAGGTTCTCTGGAAAATCAGCTGGTTCTCTTAAGCAGAGCCGCCACTCTCTGTTCCCGCAAATATACATATATTATAGAGTAGTTCTAAGATCATGACAAAAGAAAGAAATGCTCAGAGATTCCATACAAGAAACTATGCAACCATTAATATATGTATGCATTTTAATAAACATAATATAGTCACACTTTACTTTGTGAAGTCAATGATTTTTCTTTTAAATCTCTAAGATCTAGTATCCTAGGTTAGTTGCTATTTTATTCTATTTCTCCCTTTTTCAACCTTTTCTCCCTTTAGAGATGTGTAATAGTTACTACCATCAAAGACAGCTCAGATGCATTGAAATACACTGTTTTCAATAGAAAAGAACTGCTACAGATGCAAACTTCTACACCTGGATACCAATTAAAAGAAAGTTTCTTTTTATTTCTTTGGAATTTTTTTTTTTTTCTGTGATGAGCTCCTGCTTTATAACAGCTGTTTTTCATACATCTGGAAGGTTTTTTTTTTTTTTTTTTTCTCTGAGACACTCCCATATATGATAGCAGCCTGTGCAGGTTATTTCTTTCTATCTAGAAGTATTGCTGTAACGCATTTCATACTAATCTAGACTTTCCTCCTAAAGAGAAACAATTTCACTCTAACACATTTCATCTCATTAGTCCGAGACACCTGCCATCTCTGACTGAGCATCACTGCATACCGGAAGAGTCAGCGGCTAAATAACATGGGAGCAGAACTTCCTTGACTATTACAGAAAGTTGCTCTTTTTATTTGCCGTGTGTGTTCAGTGCATCCTCATGAGTAACATTAAAGACGCCAAAGATGAGAGGAGAGAAGCCTGTCCCTGTGATGCGCTCGCAGAGTGTGGAAAGGATCGTGCTGTAGCAGCCATTTTGGAAGTTGATGATACTAGTTGGTTTTTCAGAAGTGTTTATCCCCGTCCTTACCCCCCACCGTTGTCTGAAGACCAGTGTAGCAGCTGCTTGTGTTGGCCTATCTGTATAAGTGGCCCCTGTGCCTTTAGACTTTACCAAACACTTCTAGGGTTTTCCCAGCCAAGCACAGTATCTTATAGGATGTAGTAAACATTGTAAGAAAATGGTGGTGGAATTTAATGTGTAGTAATTGATACCATAATTGCGTTTTACAGGAATTTCTGTTACATGCATTTGAATGAGCCAAAAATATCATATCTGTACATATATAATTTGATCATGTGTAAATCTTTTAAATACTTGGATTCAGAGTTTGTATTTTTTGTTTCTTGCTGTGTTTGTTTTTATTATTGTTTTCAGATGAAATTTTTCTGTGTCGCCCTGGGGGGCCTGGCATTTATGGCAATCCTCCTGCCTGACCTTCCTTGATACTGGGATCAGGGTTTTGTACCACATGTCCAACTAAAAATTTTTAATTATCAAAGTTAACATTATTTCAAAGTTAACTAACCGAACTAGTTATAAATTGTATTAAAGCCTGATGACCTGAGTTCAATTCCTAGTACACACATGGTAGAAGGTAGAAGGACTGATTTCTACATATTGTCCTCTTACCTCCACATGTGTTCCATGGTACATGTACACACACACACAAAGTAACTTTAAATTTTAGAAAGGTCATTTTATGATCTCCTGCAGCTGCTCACCGAAGTGCTTGCTTGCTAAGTGGCAACACTAGTGTTACAGGAGCCCCAGCACTAACTACTCAGCTCTGAATCCAGCGTCTTGCCTTTGTGAAGAAAAAGTGGCATCAAATACATAAAATGGGAAAATTAGTTTATTGACAGTTATGTCCTAAAAGTGAAGAGAGAACTGTTCTCAGTTGGGTCCTGCCTTCCCCATAGCACCTTTACATTTTTAGAAAGGATACAGTTAAAATCCAGGAAAGGTGCACATGTAGATTTAACTGAAACTAGAATTATTAAAAAAAAAGAAAAAAAGAAAAAAAAACAGCTCAAAAAAATCCTCCTCTCCTTCTCTCTCTTTTTCTCTCTGAGAGCATGCTTTCTGTTTCTCTTCCCCCTCCCCTTCCCACAGTGACTTCCCTGACCTCGGTCCCTGGGACCAGTGAACTGGTCTGAGAGAAGCTTCCCAATAAACCTGTGTTTAATATAATCTAAAAAAAATAAAATGCTAGTTTCAAGGGCACATCACTGCATTAGCATCACTGCTTGTGATACTGAGATTTATAACAGGAAGTGCGTATTTGATCTTAGTCCCCATTCCTGGCAGCAAGCTCCTAAAACTTAGAATATAAGTGTGGAGATTAATAAAGGCAAATGGCAAATGGAGAATCTTTTGTTAGGAAAAAAACCCTTTCTAACATATCAGAGCTAAAGGTAATGGACAGTCCCCAAAGTTTGGGGCAAGAGGGACAGTTGCCAAGAAGATAACTAAGAGTATTACAGCTCTCAGCCCTAACTGTTCTACCTCCAGTAAAAACAAGGAGGGTGTTCAGATGAGGTAGGAAGAGTGCCATAAGTTTGGGTCTAGCCTGAGCTATGTACTACATTGTAGACCAAGAGTGAGCTACAGAGCATTAAGATGTTGTTTCAAAGAGAAGAGGGGCTCATGGTTGGCTGGCTCCATCATCAGTGGCTAGTGGTTTATTTGATCAATCACAGCTGTGGAGCAAAGCATCCGGAAATCACAGATGCTAGGAAGATGGAGAGAAGCTCTGTCCCTCTTCCCCCGCACTTTATACTGTGACTCTTTCATATTTGCCTGTTCCTGAGTTGAGTGTCATTTAAAAAAAAAAAGTATTTCTTTTGTTTATGTGTGCTTGCCTTAGTTGAGTTCATGTGTGTGTAGATGCCCCTGGAGACCAGAGGACATTGAATCCCTTGGAACTGAAGTTGCAGATGTTGTGAGCTTCCTGGTGTGGGTGCTGAGAACTAAACCCAGGTTCTCTGCAAGAGGAGAGCGTGCTGTTAGGGGCCTCCTATTTATACCCAGCCAGCACGACTCATGAGCTGGTCTTCTGATTGAGTCTGAAGATGGGACCAATCCTGTGAGTCTGACCTATTAATCTTGTAGATAGTTTAAGAACTGAACTGATTGTTTCCAAAAATAGGTAGGTACCAGCAGAAGACCCATACATTTGATGTCAGAAGCAAAACGTGTAAAAATAGCAATTGAGTTTTCCCATTTACTGCTGAAAAGGCTTTCTGACCAGAGACTCCTGAGTGAAATCTGAGAACAGGGCTCTTGAATTAAATGTGACCTTCAGAGAGTGTATATAGGAGTAGCACTGCTGCCGACTGAGACCATGCTGCGACCTAACAAGCTGTCTTTTGTTCACACCTCTAGGAAACTCATGTTTGAAGATTTTCGGGCCTGGCTCTCTAAGGTTTCCGGCATTGACCTAGAACCAACCATTGACATGTCCTGTGCTAAGTACGAGTTCACTGGTAAGGAAGCTAAACCCCTGCTGCCTAAAGATGCCGAGGCTTTAACTTCACCATGATGGGAAGGTAGCATCAGGGTACCAGGTAGCTTCGGGGTCTTCCTCGTAAGGACTCAGCTCATACACAGAAATAGCCGTCATACTACAAAGGGTAAGGAAATGGTTCTCTATGGGTGTATGAGAGCTATTGAACGTATTTGCAGAAAAATTCTCATACCAACCTGCACACAGTATTGTAAAACTCAAAAGATGATGCCATAAATTCTGTTCTAAGGCTTCTAAAAGTTCCCATCTCCTTTAATGCTGGTTTCCCTTACCTTATTTTGAATTTAGTGAGAGATATAGGACGTGAACACATAAATAGTCCTGTCACCTGCCTTCCCTCCACAGAGCTTTCTTTTGCCTTCCAGTTCCTCTTCAGAGCTCAGAAATGTGCACTGGAATATGTGTGCCTTTTTATATGGAAGGAAAGGTTATTTAGTTTTGTCTTACTAAATTTTGATTCGGGTCTTGGGGAAGTCTAAATTGGTAAAGCACTTTGGAGATAAACTGAGTAATGCATGTGGAAAGCCATTATGTATCTTTAGCACTTTTTCTTATGTATTGTTTTATTTTCTTTGAGACAGGGACTCTTTGTAATTCAGGCTGGCCTCAGTCTAACAGAGATCATCTGCCTCTTGAGTGACACCACATCCAGCTTTTTTTTTTTTTAAATTGGAAGTAATTTCAAGCGGAAATAGAAGAATCAGGCATAGCACAAATAATTTGTTTTCCTGTTTTATTTGAAAGGCAGTTGCAGTCCTGAGATTCCATTGGCCTGAGCACTGTAGTCAGTCTTCCTCAATGACAGTAATGAACTTGGGAATCAGAGACTTGACAGGCCTGTGTTGTTCCCGTCTAATTCGTAGGCCTCGTTCACTTGTTACTATTGAGGCAAAAGGATCTAGTTGAGGATGGCCTACTGCATCCACTCGTCCTATCTGCTGAGCCTCCTGCAGTCTAGAATAGCCTCCTGGTCTCTCCTGGACTTGCTGGACCTTGATGCTTCTAAAGACTTACAGACAGATCTCAGTTATCTCTTACCACCTCCTTCAGTCGAGAGTTATCTGGTGTTTCCTTATGATTGGATGATTCTCCTTGAGACGTGCATTTGGAAGGAATGCCATAGCTAACGCTTAGTTTTTTTCTGAATCCTACTGGATTCAGAGTGACTCTGTGTCATATCCTTAGTGATGTGACCCTGGAGGACTCAGATTGCCACACTTTGTGGCAGATGCTTTTGCTGTTTGTTTTGCTGCTGGGATTGAACCAAGGGTCTCAACTTGCTAGGCAGATGCTTAGCTATATCTTCAGTCTCCCCCCCACCCCCTCTCTCTCTGTCTCTGTCTCTGTCTCTCGTTGGCATCTAAGCTGTGTAGATTGCCTTTGAACCTACCCTGTAGCCCAGATTGGCCTTAAACTTGATTCTCTTGCTCTACCTCTACAGTAGCTAGGATTATAAGGCTTTGCTACCAGACCTGACTGTAAGAATATGGGAGACAAACCAAGAACCTTGGACATGCTGCTTTAAGATTATGTAACTGTCATGTTTCTCACCAAACTTTGGTTCAGTTCTTTTTTTTTTTTTTTTTAAGATTTATGTATTTTATGCATATAAGTACACCACCATTGCTCTCTTCAGATACACCAGAAGAGGGCACCAGACCTCATTACAGATGGTTGTGAGCCACCATGTGGTTGCTGGGAATTGAACTCAGGACCTCTGGAAGAGCAGTTGGTGCTCTTAACCGCTGAGCCCTCTCTCCAGCCTTGGTCCAGTTATTTTCACATGGTAATTTTTATATTGCTAAATTACTGCAACGTAAGTTGCCATGAAGTGGCTTGGTTCTGTGGGCTAAAAGCACTTGCTGCGAAATCTGACACTCTGAGTTACGTTCCCGATACCTATGTGGTGGAAGCGGAGGACCAGGTTCCTAAGTTGTCACAATAAATAAATGTTTAAATTTAAAAAAAAAAAAAACAACAAAGGAATGTGTATACCCATGAACAGAAAGATTCATTAAGGCAGTCTTTGGAATAGCCAAGAAATACAAACAATTTAATAACAAATAGAGGTGCAATTAAAGAGAAGGTACATAGTACTTCTAGGAAGAACAGTAACTGTAGCTATTAGAAGTGATGTCAGGGGTGTATACTGATATGGAAAGACTCAGCCCACAACCCACCACTATAGCATTAACATTTCTTTAAGTAAATACATATACAAGGAGAAAATACTATAAAAATATGTGGGAAAATAGTGTTTGTAACTGTATTGTAGACCTGTCTGTATCCGTTGTGTTTAAAGCTTTCTGTATTGTCTGAGTTTTATTGCTGCGTTTACAATAGAGAAGTGTCATTTTAAAACTGCAGGATAGTTTAAGCTGAGTTGACATTACAGATGTATGTCGGGATAGCTGAATACAGAAGCAGACAGCAGCTGCTATGTGTGCAGAGATCTGAATTGTGCTCTGTGCTTGCAGATGCTCTGCTCTGCCATGATGACGAACTGGAGGGGCGCCGGATCGCCTTCATTCTGTACCTGGTTCCTTCTTGGGACAGGGACTTGGGAGGCACCCTGGACCTTTATGACACGGATGGTAAGACGCACGTTTACCACCTCCAGGTAGCCACTCCTGAATTCCAAACACTTGCTTCAGGACCACCACTCTGCCATATGTCGAATGAGAGAGAAACCATGTTTTTAGCACAGTGGCTACCACGGGTGGAATTAATGCGAGCCTGACAACCACCTTTCAAAGTTACATTTCAAGTTAGTTCCCCAGAGACGAAGCTGATGGAGATGAGAAGTGGGCCCTGCTTCTGTGTACTAACCACAGAAGAGTAAAGAGCACACCAAGCTACCTGTGCCTGTGAGCCTGCTAACAGCAGTCTGTTTGACAAGAAGTCAGATCTTTTGAGGGGGGACTCACTACAGAGAACCTAATCCAGTTCTCAACAATAATAGCTGGACAGTGTGGTAGAAGCTCCTGTCACCTAGCTGAGCGAGCAAGCTTGAGTGACAAGTAGGAGGGAGTATTTGAGAATGCCGAGAGCTGGATGAGGCAGCCTGAAAGTGTTAATGATGCTGGCCCCTACTCATGGGTGTCTTCTCTCCCGATGCAGAACACTTGCAGCCAAAGCAGATTGTCAAGTCTCTTATCCCTTCCTGGAACAAACTGGTTTTCTTTGAAGTATCTCCAGTATCCTTTCACCAGGTAAAGGCCATAAGACAAACCTACAGTGCTCTAGGGATCAAGGGTCTGGCTCTCTGATCACCCACATCTGTGGCTCCTTCCTGTTGGACTCACTGTCTCACCAGGCCATTTGCATACCCATCCTGGCAGACTCAAGCTACTGTGCCCTGACTAGTGTCTTCACTTGTCCTCCTTTGTGTTGATGTGCCGATGGTCTTGCTCTTGCAGGTGTCTGAAGTCCTGTCTGAAGAAACATCACGTCTGTCTATAAGTGGCTGGTTTCATGGTCCTTCGTTAACCAGGCCTCCTACTTACCTTGAGCCCCCAATCCCTCGAAACCCTCACATCCCACAAGATGTAAGCATCAATTATTGGAATTCTTATCTTGTGTACTATAACATATCAGTTGTTTTTCTGACTGTACTTGGGAGGACCATGAGAGCTGATATGTATTTTGCTGCACTAGACATCAAGCCAAGGAAGGGCCTTGCATATGTTAACCAAGCATTCTTCAGTGAACTATATATCCAGCCTGTTTTTCTGATCTTAAAATTGGGTTTTGCCAATGCTGGAACTAGACTTGGAACATTCACTTTTCTTAGATAGATTCTGATAATGTTTTTGGCATAGTTTTTTAGTGCTCTTTGTTTGATAGGAGAAACAAAAAGTGAAGAATATGAACTAATATAAGAACAGAAGCTATAGATATTAATCGATCTCCTGTATCTGCTGTTTCTCTTGTAAGCATGAAATTTTATATGAGTGGATCAACCCTGCTTACCTGGAAATAGAATATCAGATGCAAATTCAAGAAGAATTTGAGGAAAGGTCTGAAATTCTCCTAAAGGAGTTTCTTAAGGTAGGCCACCATACCCTGGTTTATATGTGCTGTTTGACTTAATCTTGGTAAAATTGACTCCACCAAGATTTATCTTTTTTCTTAGTTCGGATGTTTATGTAATTCTCTTCAAATAAAATGCACCAATTATAATAATAAGCATTGCTGTTGGGCATATCCATGATATCCCAGAATTCTACGAACCCTTTTTTAAAGGTTTATTTTTTGTTTTTAAATAAAAACATGAATGTATGCACACATGCATGTGGGTGCTTAAATGCCAGAAGAGGGTATCAGATCCCCTGGCACTGAATCAGTTCCAGGTGGGGGTCCTCTGGAAAAAGCACTGGAACCACTGAACCATCTCTCCTGTCCAGGACTATATTACTCAGTGTACATGCGTGCATATACATATTTCTGCCCTAATAGGACTTGGCACCTAGTTTGGTTTTTTTCTGTTCATTTGGTTAGTGTGGTACTTACTAATGTTTAATAGATGGATAGCTACTTATAGTTGGTCTAATTCTGAGTGTTTGACCATCATGAGGCAACCTGAGTAGAAAGAGAGCTGAGGTCAGACATCATGTCCTGGCTCCAGCTTCCCTAACCTGAGCAAATCAGTCTCACTAGGTAGCTGTTGTGTTACTGGTCACAGTGGGATGATCCCCACCTTGCCTTTCTTGCTGAGTTATGAGAACTACGTGAGATATCACTTGCCTTTCTTGCTGAGTTATGAGAACTACGTGAGATATCACTTGCCTTTCTTGCTGAGTTATGAGAACTACGTGAGATATCAC